AATTTTAATAAATTATCACATGATTATAACCATACCCTTTGACTCGCTAACCCTAATTGAAGACCCACGTCAAAGAACTTTAAAATTATGAATATGAAAATCCGACTTGCAAGCAATTACAAAATTACATTACAAATAACATAGGAATTGTGTGAGATCGGAATAAATCTAAACTAAATATGTACATGATATATATGACTTAAACCGACAGTTTATTTAATATTTTTAGGGGCGGAACCAAGATGTGATTCAGGGTAAGGTCCTCTTCATGCCCCTAACACTGAGCCTTTTTTTTTTTTTTTCTCCTCACAAGGAGATCTAAAGAAAGGCATGTGGCCCTTTTTCTTCGTGCAAGCCTGACCTTAGACCTTCTATCTTCAAGATTTTTTAAGGTCAAGGTAAGGTCTATGCCCTACCATCGTCTAATGTTGTTATACTTTGCCACTGTTACACTAATAGTTTTCTTAACTTCGAAAGTGAAAGTTTGATTCTTGAAGGGTTACTATTTTCATTTTAATATCACCAAAGGATTTAAAAGACAAGAGGATGATATGGGTGAAATCGTCCATTTGTAAATATCTATTTCCTATTTTTATTTTCTTATCTTATTAATTTTAAGTTGTTGGAATAGTAATTTAACACTTTATTATATATTTAGAATTCAAAACTAAACTAAACACAAAATAACTTTTTAAAAAAAGACTAGTTAATTATTGACTAACAAATAAACTAATGAAAGGATATATTCCACGTCATTGGTATCTTAAATGAGTTATAAATGTTTCACCACTATATCCCTATAAAAGGGAATTACTTTGTCTCTTAAATTTTCCTTTTAAAATTCACATATTATTACTGACTTTGATGTTAGAGTATCTTCTTTGAGAAAAACAAGTTTTGCAATCATTGAAGTGTACAACCTTAGATATACCTGACCGGAACATTTTCAGCTTCAACACAAGCCAGGCGCAGAACTAGTGTTGGGGCCTTACATTAGCTTCATGCCAAGGGCAGAAGTGGTATTGACCTGGCATTAGCTTCATGGTACGTATCATCACAAGAAGCATTCAATCTTAACAGAGCCGGCCGGTTTCAACTTCCATCCATCTCATGTATACTTAATTTCCTTCAAAGGGGCTATAAAATTTTGCAAAGGGCAAACCTTTATTTCATTTTTAACAAAGTTAATCAATCCATTATCTAGATTGTTGAGATAGTGGTTCAACACTTTATTACAAGTTTAAAGCTCAAAACTTAAAACCAAACTAAATACAAAATAGCTTTTGAAAATTAAGAAAACCACTCATTCACTAACAAATGGACCAATGAGAGGATATATTCCATCTCATCAGTGTCCTAAATGGGTTGTAAATATCTCAAAACTACTCATATGAAAGCTAATTAGTTTTTTTCTTAAAATTTCCCTTTAGAGTACACAGATTATTGTTGACTTTAATGTCAGAGTATCTTCCATAAGGCAACGGATTTTGCAGCTCATTGAAGTGCACAACCTTGGATCTACCCGACCCGAACATTTTCAGCTTCAACAGCCAAGGGTAGAACTGGTGTTGTGACCTTGCATTAGCTTCATACCAAGTGCAGAAGTGGTATTGACCTTGCATTAGCTTCATATATGGTACGTATCACAAGAAGCATCTAATCTTAACACAGCTGGCCGGTTTCAACTTCCATCCATCTCATGTACACTTAATTTTCCTTCAAAAGGGCTACAAAATCTTGCAAATTGCAAGCCTTTATTTCATGTTTTACAAAGTTAATCAATTTGTAGTCTGCTCCTATACGGATAAAATTTAATATTTTTTTCCCAATTTAGTATGAATCTAGCTAACTCTTGTTCTTGATGCACAAACAGCTGCAATCAAAAGATGAACAAAAGCAAGCATCAAAAGAATTACTCGTTGAATTGAAGATTTTGACACATGTTCATCACTTGAATCGTATTCGACTTCACTGTCATATCTTATAATCTAGGTTAAATTTTCATTTTGGTCCCTGAACTATTGTATGGACCCACAATTTGGTTCTTAAACTAAAGAAATCTCTAATTTGATCCATAAACTATTATATAGACCCCCAATTCGGTCCCACTGTTTATAATTTGCCCTAAGTTGATCCTTGAATTATTGTACGGACCCCCAATTTGGTCCTTATTATTTACAATTTCACCCCAATTTGGTCCCTGAGCTATTATTTAACAGAAAGACCAAGTTGAGGCTAAATTGGTAAACAATAGGGATCAAATTGGAGATCCGTATAATAGTTTAGGGACTAACTCAAGAGTTCGTACAATAGTTTAAGGACCAACTCAAGGATTCGTACAATAACTCAAGGATCAAATTAGAGATTTCTTTAATTCAGGAACCAAATCGAAAGTCTACATAATAGTTTAAGGATCAAAATAGGGGTTTAGCTTATAACCTATGTTAGAACTTAACAATCATAATATGACCAAAAAGTTTGAATTAATTTCAATTTCTAGACAAGAAATTTGTACACATTGGAGGGGCAGAACCAGGAATGTATTCGCGTAGGCTGGAGGTGAAGACAAGGGGAGTAATAATAGCCTGGGATCAACTTGGGGGCTATAAAGCAACAATTTAGGATATCTTAGCAGGGGATTGGATTGCCGACTATGACACAATGCCAAAGACTTCATTGGTTCAACAATAACGATTATTTATTTCTTCCTATCTTTTGCCTAACAACAATAGCGACTTTGATCCATGAAATTGTTCTCTAGAGTCAAATTAGTTAGCCTCCCTGTTTTGACTTCCAATAGGTCACAGCTCATATCATCATTGAAACTATGTATGGCGATAGTTTAAAAGTCTATTTGGTTAAATAATCATCTCATAATATTTGATTAGAAGTCCTCTTTGGAATGCTATTGCAAAATTTCAAAACAAACGTGGAAGCCAACATGTGAATGAAGATATAATAATCCAAGAGTTGGAGTTAGTTATAAGTATAGGCTTGATTAGGGTTAGTTAAAGATTAATACTAAAAAAATTAATTTTTTTAAATAAGTGCATTATTAAAATTATTTTAAAAATCATTTTTAAAATATATAAAAATTAATTAAGCACACGTTATGAAAGAATGGGAGAAAAGAAAAAAAAATTATTAATTAAATTATAATATTATAAAATATTATAATTTAAATAATATTATAATTTAATTAATAAAAAAATCTACTAATCTCTAATTTTCCTCAAACTAAATATAATATATAATGTAAATAAAAAAATAAATTCTAGTCAAATTATCTCCTTTTTGCCGTTTTACTTAATCGAAAGTTGCTGTACGTGTACGAATATTTACCAAAAACAACAAAAGTTGCTGTACCGAATTCTATAAAAAAAAAGAAAGTCGCTGTACGAAATAGATACGATATCCACTTTACAAGTGTAATTCTAGGGTCAATTCCTTGAACTTGAAGCGAAATCGTTAAATCCACGTGTTCATTGTTGATGCGTCCGTTACGGACCCTACCTTACCTGTTGTAATGATAGTGCACCCTGTCGATTATATCTCACTCTAAAGTCTAAAGATAAGCGCTGTATGTCTCCTCTGGTGACGCAACCACGCGGGCAACGCTCTGTCCACGCCGGCAACACTCTGTCCACGCGGCACAGATTTTTCTCTTCCATATCACTGGCTTCCAGGCGCGTATAAGAAACATACTTAACACGTCTTTGCTTTTTTTCTTCAATGAAAAAAAATATATAAAAAAATAAATAAGCCTCCCCAATATCTTTACTTTTTGGACAATTAATCCCTTAGTTGTTGTTGGTTAAAAATAAAAGCCATTGATTGTGTGTTTGATAACCCAACCAAATTTTTGAGTTGCAATTATAAAAAATAAATAATTCTTTAAATTGTAAAAATCAATTCAAAATAAACAAATGTCACATGTTACATGAAACATTAAAACTTTTTATTTACATAGTGCTAAATTTATTGTAAAGTGTCTTATTTGTTTTTGTATATAATAGTTGATTGTAACTGGGAGAAGATGACTGTTCCTTCTTCATCCATCTTGTTTTTTTTTTCCCCCTTTTTTTGTTTTATATCCATAATGTATTATTTTGAAATGATAGTACCATAAGAACTAAAGCATTAAGGGATTAAAAAGGGTGAAATTCATGGGATTTGATCATTTCTCTAACATAGCTCTCCCATCAACTACACATAGAATATTGGTGACATTGTAACATCTCAATCTCATATCAAAAGAAGAGTATGATTGTGAGTAATACATAAATATGAAGATAAACTATTATTAACAACTTAAGTTTGAGTTTTTAAGAATTTGTAGACCTTGATTTATAGAGTTGTTAGGTTAATAATAAACTTTAATCAAGTTCGTATTAATTAGTATCATAATAGTTTTCCTAATTAGTATTAGAATAATTTTTCTCATTAGATCGTATTAAAGACCTTAATTCTAGCTTGCCCTCAACCTTTATAATCTCATATGTGATTGTGGATTTGTTATTCAAATTATTAGTAGCAATTGGTCTTTACATTTATATACTATTTATAATTGTAGTATCCTTCAAATATGAAATTAGAGCTTTATAGACATAATTTGAAATAACATCAAAATTGAAATCCTATTTAAAAAATTTCAAATTCAATAAAGATTTAGTTTAAATTATAAATATACACTATCTATATGATAGATAAATGACAAGGTGTAATTTGTTCACTTTCTCAATATTTTACCTCATTATTTTGTGTTAGTAAAATGGATTTGTGTTCCATTCTGCAAAACTACAAGTCTACAACCTCTCAAGTTGACTAATTGCTTGAGCTTTGATTTGTTGTTTAAAAGTTGGGTTTGGGTGCTGCTAGTTAAAAAATTGAGGGACTTATCTATTCTTCAAATGAAACTGGACTGTGTAATTCACGCTCATGGACTACGCGTACAAGGAAAAGCCGTTCTGTCTCGTGCAACGCTGAAACCCCTGAAAGTAGCCGTTGTATTTTCCCAAATGGCACTTTGCCGACTTTGGAGATTGTACTTATAGTCACCAAAATTAATCAATCTTAGATGGACAACACTGCATATATTGACGAAATCAGTCCGTTCCGAAAACGACATACAACCCTACTGGCCCAAAACGTTAACATCAAGCCCGATCTACGCCACCTGTAATCATCAACCAACACTCCCCACTTCCTTCCTTTATATATATCCCCTGTTCTAACTTCCACCCACCAAATCTCCATATAGGGAAATTCCAGTTTTTGGTTTCGCATTTGTTGTATATTCTACTATTCGTTTGGCTCTGTCAGCGCTCTTCTATAGCTTTGGTTTGTTATCTTATTTGGTTTGGTAGTCTGTGGTAGTGTTGGTTTCGTTTTCCCTGAACTGGGAGGGGGGGAATGCTTTCTGGGATTGTTTGGAATTTTGCTTTCTTTAAGCTTTGAAGGGATTCGAACATTCGCTAGTTCAAATCTCGATCTGCAAGTGCAAGGAGACTTGTTTTGTTTTTATATTTGAGTAAAAATCCGTTCTTTATTCGGTTTTTGGCTAGTAATATAGAGTTCCTTGTTCACTTGGAGGAATCATAAAAAGGGTAAGAATTTTTTTATGTACTTGTTCTTGATTTATGTTTTTGTGGCTTTCATTTTGTTACTGTTTTTGGGAAGTTGTTATTTATGTATGTCTAGTGTTAGATGACGGAAATATTGGTGCTTTATGTTGATTTTGATTCAATTTTCTGTTAGTTTTTTGCTCCATGTTTGGAAATTGGAATTGGGTTGTATAGATTTCCTCCTATCACATGGAAGTTATCTTGTTTGTGCAGGATTGTAGATGGCGACGCTTGGAGATATAGCGGTTTCAGCAGGCATCAATCTTTTCACTGCCTTCATCTTCCTTCTGGCATTTGCCATTTTGAGGCTTCAGCCTTTCAATGATAGGGTATACTTCTCAAAATGGTATCTCAGGGATTTACGAAGCAGTCCAATGCACGCTGGAGCGTATATGCGCAAGTTTGTTAATTTGGATTTTCGTTCCTACTTGAGATTCTTGAATTGGATACCAGAAGCCCTGAGAATGCCAGAACTTGAGCTTATTGATCATGCAGGGTTGGATTCTGTGGTTTATTTGCGCATTTACTTGTTGGGGTATGTTGCAGGGGGTTTTTTCTGTTCATCATTTGCTCAGTTACTTCACTTCGTGGTTTGGTTGAACATCATTAGACCAGTTGGCTTCATTCATTATCCTTGATGATATCTCTGTTTCTCTACATTGTTTTTATGCAGATTAAAGATTTTTGTCCCCATAACTTTCCTTGCGTGGTTGATCCTGGTACCTGTTAATTTTACAAATAGCACATTAGAAGATAATGTCAAGCTATCCAATGTGACCGCAAGTGACATTGATAAGCTTTCAGTTTCAAATGTCCCTCTTGGATCAGAGAGGTATAAGACACTCATTGCTTAGCATTTATTCCTTTAACCTGTCAACTTAGTTGCTTATCTATGGTTTACTGATTAAACTTCTTCTACGCTTGTAGCATAAAATTTTGTGAAGAAGTTTAAAAAGACAATGATTTTTAGTTTGTATTGCTATTGTGGAAGTTTTAACACTTTAGCCTTTGTCATTTGAAAATCCCTTTTTACCTTGGACTATAAAAATGTTTAGGTACTCTAGTTAATACAGATGTAGCTTATTTAGAATCTGATTTCTTGTGTAGTTTTTAGTTCTACATATGATGTGGGCTTGAGCGCATGGCATAAGCGTGTGCCCTTTGTGTCATTATCATTTTCTTGGGTGATCTTGTTTGTCATCTATTTTTAGTAACTGAGGTACTTGTTTTACTGTTGTGGTGAATTGGTGCTACCCTGTGTTGCAGGTTTTGGACTCATGTTATCCTGGCTTATGCCTTCACTTTCTGGACATGCTATGTGTTACTAAAAGAGTATGAGAAAGTTGCTTCTATGAGATTG